AACAGAGACCCCCCAGCCCCCTGGGCCCCCCCCCCCAACATAAGCGCAGATCATCAGACTCAAGGTCTAAGAAAGGAGGGGCTCGCACACCTCAGATGGTGAGATGGCCGTGGGCGCCAAGGCATCACCCAGAGCGGCTGATCCAGGTGGGTGCCCTGTCCTGTGCAGGCACCTGGGGCCTGCCATGCACCCTCACGCCAGGTGGCAAGAACAGGGAGCTCAGAGACTGAGGAAACAGCAGCCCGGGTCGCTCTAGGTTGCTGACTACTGACTAGAAGAGGCCCCTGTGTAGAGGAAGCCAGAAGCCTGACCCAGGCCCTTAGGCCACTTTCAGCTCCTCCCCACCTGTGCAGAAAGCTGATGAGGACCCTACTTCATTCCTTGACTGGGCATGGAGGCTGGGATGGCAAGAGACAAAAGGACAGGCAGGACGCTCCCCCGCACCCCTGGGCAGCGAGACTGGTCTGCCCCTGAGGCACCCTGTGCCAGATACTGCCCCGCAGCACTGGCAGGTTAAGCACATCGGTCCCACTCTATGCTGGACCTCCCCATGAGGGCGGGCAGAACCCAGGCACTGCCGGCCTAAGAAGGTCCTGGCCTGGCGAGAAGGGTCCCAAAGTATGGGATTCTCCCAGGCAGTTTGTCCAGACCAGGGGGACAAGAAGCAAACACCTCCCTTCTTACTGTTCAGAGGAAAGAGGGGTCCTTCCCTGGGGAAGGTAGAGCAGGCAGCGAAGCATGAGCTCGGGAGGGCAGGATGGACAAGCCTGGGGGTGTGGCTGCCAGAGGACACAGAAGGCGCCGAGCCTCGCTCTGCGGGGCTGGGAGCCGGGCAGAGCCTCGGTGGGGGAGGGGAGCGTGCACTCGGCCGGCGCTCCCGGGGCGGGCTGGGTCTGCAGAGCAGGAGACCCTGGAGGTGGGTGGAGCGGACACGTAAGGGTTGGAGCAGAAGAAGAAGTCCCGAGAGTTAAGACACGAGGGGGCCCGGGTAGGCTCTGTAGGCCCGCGGGACTGGCAAGAAAGGCGGCGTGAGCCCGGACAGGGCCCGGCGAGAAGGCGCGGAGCCGGCCGGGCCGGGTTGGGGTCGGGCCGGCGGCCCTACCTGGT